CGTGCGACTGACGTAGTATGTTTACCACTTTCTATCTGTAGAACTAATTGGTGAATTTTTTTTCTACCTCAATTTTCGGTCTTAGTTGACAGCGAGGGAATGCAGCTGTCAAGTTTGAAATCTGATGCTAGTTCGCTTCGTTACTCTCTTGCAGGTGCTACAAATATTTCAGATGAAAATGCACATTTATTGTTCACACTGATTCCGTAGGAACTCAGTTTTGGATTTAGTAATTTACTGATTAAGTCATTTGTTCGACTTACATGCTGAATCATTGGTTATTATGATGAGTGTAGTGGAACATACTCGTTTCGATATAACTTCATTTACAAACGGTTTTACGATGTATTCTAGTAGTAGGAAAACAATAAATTTGATGGATTATGGAATGTTTGCTTTGCTTTCGGAAACGGGCAACAGTGTTTCGTTTACGTAATTGGACAAGACACGATTTTCTGCATTTCCCCCAACATCTTGGCCCTTTTAGTCATAACTAGTTGTCAAGTACTCCGAAACGGGTGGCTGATAAGGTCATGAGTAGTGTTGTTGGAAGTTAGAGATTTCGTCATGAATTTATCACATGTTGCTGAATGAGAGACTGATTTCAACTTTGCAGCGAGGTCAGCCAGTCAATCAACAGAAAGACGGTAAAGCCGAATGTGATAATCCTCATGTGTCTGTGAGACCATCAAAATGAGTGCATTTAAAAGTTTTAGGGTCATCGCCTGGTCATAAAAAATTGTTGAAGTCTGGTAATAAGTTATATGCGATTCAGACAAGTATTTCTATACATTTCTTGACCAGAGTTCTTGTAGAAATGTGCCGTGAGGATTTCTTTATTTTATGTGCTCCGACGTTTTGTTTCAAAGTTGACTGAACTACACATCTGTCTTTTTTGGGTGGTTTATATGAACGGCTTATGTAAATATTCTTTATAAGATTTAGGCCAGTATTTAAATAAGGCGCGTAGCTTGTTTTCATTCTAAATTTTCATTATTAGTTATTGGACGTGCTGATTTTAAGCGTCGGACCAAAGATATCCAAGATTCATTCAGATGTCTGCTGGCTTCGCACGATCCGCTGCTGCTGACAATCCTTTCATCGATAACAACCAACCGGTCAAGTTTTCTTTAGCAATGGAAATGATACCTCATTGAGTGACTGTAGGTTTTAGAAGGTGAAAACAGTTGGTTATCGCTTACGACTGATACCAACAGTTATTTTTTAATAACTTAGTTATTAGTTTCCATTTCTTAGTTTATCTCCAGATAGAGATGTCCCATTTAAGCGTGTGATAAGGTTGCTGCGGCATAGAGTCGCGACGCTCACTGCGTGCTCTTTACACAGTTATAGCCAGGACGGTCCAGAGCCAAACTGGGGACCAGATGGTTCGATTAATTGTCGCGTCTCGGAATCCCTGCCACAGTGTTTGAATGTTTGACCACTATTACGTGGAAAAACGTTGTGAAGCAGCTGTCTCGGCGATCCGAAAGGAATACCGGGTCTTGAGAATCAATTCTCGAAATTGTTGTGGTTGATTGTTCCCGGTAGAATAAGTCTGATCACGGCATGATCGAGATACGGTATTTCCTCCTGTAGTTATTGTACAATAATTACAATGAATATACTGAAAACCAAAAATGTATAAAAGTTATTTATGCACAACGCAAGCAGACAAATTGGTGATGAATCAGATAACCAGTTCTGACGTTTCCGCCAGTCTCTCAAGCCTGTTTCAGGATGGTCTGAGTTGATTTCTGTATTTGTGTGTTTCGCGACTCTTATGACGTTCTGTATAAATAAACAGTTTTTATGCATTTTGAGTTTTTAGCAGGATCACTAATGCAAGATCAAAAATCGCAGTACAATTCATTAAATAAATAAATATGTTATTGAATGATTTTATAATTATACTGTGGATGATGCTCTGATTCAGTACTCCGAGTTTACGTCCATCATTTTCCCTCAAACGTTCGGTAGTGTGAACTGCCAACCAGTAGTTTAGTTCCTGAGGTTTACCTTTCTAGTTTACAGTAAAGTTATACTCTAGCGATGCAGAATTAAACCAGGGAAGATTTCTCATACTTAATAGAACGAAGGACCAGTCTCCAAATCTTGTAAGAGGAAAATAGAAAGGAACATGTTTAAGGGTAAAGCAAAACACGCCAATCACGCCATCATGATTGAAGTAGTGACGCTGCTTATAAGTGGTGCTTAACAGATAGAAAACAGCCTGACAGGAAAAATGTCATCTGCAATCATAGGGATAATTGCTTGGTTTGTGAGTTCGTTACCGCTGTTACGCCGGTATTTTTTCAGTATCCATGCAGCCCAGATGGTGCACTTCATTTCTGTCCGTTTTGCAAGAGTATTTGGCAGTTTGATTCCTTCCGCATGATCTACTGATGTCGTCCTGTGTTTCGGCTTTGAAAACTAAGAACATTTTTCTGAGTAATTTTAGTGATGTAGTAAATAACGTATCTGATTTCACGATAGGTCCTCACAGTTCAAAGAAAGCACAGTTCCATATATTTCCTTGTCATGCAATTCGCTGGTTCGATCTTTGTTACTTCTTTGAGACATGAACCATTAGTATAAAGCAATCGAGCTGTATGCCACAAAACCTCTATGCTATGAAAATTTGGCCAAATCCAGTAAATTGTTAAGTGATACTTTTTTAAAAAAGATTTGCGTTTGCACTTACTGCTGATGCTTAGTCAGTTATAAGGTGGGTCAAGGCGAGTTGAACAAGCATCAGGCAACATAGTTTTGTGTCACTCTTTGGCGTAATCATACCAAAACATCATTTTGTCCCTATTGTTCACAGGTAAACGACCAAACAACCTGTTATTTGTTCCCTTTTCAACTGGTTGGACAAAAACATAAGGACTGAATTCTTTATTGAATGAAATTAGCGCGCTGTAAAAGAAAATTTACAATTCGCTGGATCTAGATGGATAAAATGTCAGAAAACAGAAGTCAGTGACCTTCATCCAGGAGTGGATCGAAAAAGGTTCATGGTTATGAAGTGAAAGTGAATGTTTGCACTGTCTGTATGGCTGTAACCCGACGCTTGTAAAGTGCAAGACTGAATACTAAGCCATTGTGCCACTGCCCCCTCACCCCGTCCCATATTTTAGCAAATAATCGAATGAAAATCCTTAAAGACAAATTTGTCAAATTTGTGACTTAATGATTGGGCACGAAGAAGCGCGAGAGCGATGGTGCTAGGAAAGGTTAGTGTACTACAGAACTAGTGTTCCACTAATT